CTCTCTGTACTTTGCTCTGTTCATCTTTCCCTTGATCCTGACTAGTCTCCCAGTCCCTGCCGCTGAAAAACATCCTCACAGCATGATGCTGCCACCACCATGCTTCACCGTAGGGCTGGTGCCAGGTTTCCTCCAGACGTGATGCTTGCTTCATCAGACCAGAGAATCTTGTTTCTCATGGTCTGATAGTCCTTTAGGTGCTTTTGGCAAATTCCAAGCGGGCTGTCATGCTTTTTACTGAGGAGTGGCTTCTGTCTGGCCGCTCTACCATAAAGGCCTGATTGGTGGAGTGCTGCAGAGATGGTTGTCCTTCTGAAAGGTTATCCCATCTCCACAGAGGAACTCTGGAGCTCTGTCAGAGTGACCATCGGGTTCTTGGTCACCTCCCTGACCAAGGCCCTTCTCCCCCTATTACTCAGTTTGCCCGGGCGGCCAGCTCTAGGAAGGGTCTTGGTGGTTCCAAATTTCTTCCATTTAAGAATGATGGAAGCCACTGTGTCCTGCAGAATGTTTTTGATACCCTTCCTTAGATCTGTGCCTCGACACAATCCTGTCTCGGAGCTCTACGGACAATTCCATTCGACCTCGTGGTTAGTTTTGTTCTCTGACATGCACTCTCAACTGTGGGACCTTATACTGAAAAGTATTAGCACGTCATATCATTGGGGAAATACACGAAATTGATATGGATTTCCCACTTCAAGCCCAAATATATCATACTTTGACTAAAACAATGTCATACATGCTGACCACACCGCTCGCATTACCTGGGCAAGCGTTGCAAAATAAATGTACACATACATGTTATTCAATCATTGCATCCACACTACTCGTGCGCATCAACAAGCGTGTGCATAGCCAGGCGCTAAAATAGAACTTGGTTCTATTTGTGACTCTTGACACGCTACAAGTCCTGCATCTCCCATCTCCTCATTGGTTTTTAGGAGCATATATCCACGTGGGGGATTGAAAGATAAACTGAGGTCCACACTCCAGTTCAGTTGGTGGTGGTAAAGCACCTTAAAGTTGGTTGCCAACTGCTATATAAAGTCCAAAGAAGATGAAGAAGCCTGAAGGAGGAGGGATTACTAGAAACAAACTTGGTTTACCCTTTTATCTGTGGATTAATTTTCGGAGTAGAGGAAAAATTAGCTAGCAACAGCAAGCTTGCTAGTTATATTGCCATAAATGTTGAATGCTTTTTGACCTGTCCCCAAATTAATATAGTTGGTTCAGAGTTTGTTGAAATTTTTCAACCTGCGTATCCTTATCGCGTCTGGTGTGGGTGGACAAAATCAACATGCGTGCGATGGTGCACATGGACGCACGCCTGCTCCCGGTCTAGTCAACATGTTATTGACTTCAATTGTTGTGCAACATCATGGATAAGTTCTGGGCATCGTCTTTCAGTTGAAAAAAATGTCAATTATAAATACAAATGTAAACTCACATTTTTTAAACTTTTCGCATATATTGTATCTTAAACCCACATTTACATAATCTAAAGTGTATGTGTTGGGCCCACCATGGATTGAGGAACCGCATACTCTTCTATTTCAATCATAGACCACTGCAATTTAGCTGGTAAACCATTTCATTTACTTTACTTCCAATTACATTTACATTTTAGTCATTTAGCAGACGCTCTTATCTAGAGCGATTTACAGTTAGTGAGTGCATACATATTATTATTATTTTTTTCATACTGGAATCAAACCCACAACCCTGGCGCTGCAAACGCCATGCTCTACCAACTGAGCTACATCCCTGCCGGCCATTCCCTCCCTTACCCTGGACCAATTGTGCGCCGCCCCATGGGTCTCCCGGTCGCGGCCGGCTACGACAGAGCCTGGATTCGAACCAGGATCTCTAGTGGCACAGCTAGCACTGCGATGCAGTGCCTTAGACCACTGCGCCACTCGGGAGGACCATTACTACCACAAAGATGGCCACCGATCCACCCACCATCGAATGTCAACTTAAAAGTAGACTCAGCGAAATGACGTAGATGCAGAACATAAACAGCATAGTGGGTAAATTTCCACAACAACTAAGAGCGTTGAAGCATAAAGGTTAACTTCTCAGCTGTTTTGGTGCCCTGGCTACCACACTGTAACGGCGTGAAACATGCATAGATACTGTGTGAGAGTCTTGCATCTCGTTCATCTAAATATCTGCGATGCTGCTCGTGGCAACGTAATTTCACTGAGTCTACCTTTTAAATGGGAATGTATATTATCAATATAATATTTTGTATAGGTTTCCTATGGAAGATTGACAGTGTAATTTAAAACAACTGATATTCTCATTCAAGTCAACATTCTCTGATGTGTGGACCTCCAACCATCTTTGTGGTACCATTTGAAAGTTGACATTTAAATCTATCAGCCTAAACATGACACCTACCCTGTATTCAAGAGCATGCTGTGTCTCAACCGATGGCGGGCACAACACAAAGACCTCAGATGATGTAAAATGGGGTCTATGTGGAAATGAAAAAATATTCTGAGTTTATGCGTTTTTGGATAATTGACGATAAAAAAGAAAAAAAATGTATTACATTTTTTGTTGTTGAATTTATCAAATAGTTTGACAACCTTTTTAGTAAGCTTTTTAAATTATATCAAACTCAACAGTTTATCTTTTCCAGTGATGCAGACATGGATGTCTCATGGTATGGCGGAATATGCAAAATGGGTGAACATTGGGCACCTCTATCTCCTGAATGTTTTGGCATTCAGGTCCAAAAAGTCACTTTTGACCAGGGGCAAGAATGGAAAGTTTCGTTCAAATCAAAAGGAGTGCGGTCAAAATGTGATTGAAATCGATAAAAAAAAAAAAAATTGATTCTAGATGAAAAGGGATCAAAGTTAAGGTAAAAGAAATATACATTCTTCCTGCCCACCATTTGGCTATTTTGTCATCCTTTTGAATTGTCTAATCATGTGGAGAAGTGATGGGAGTCGAGGTTATTCTAGAGTAAGTGTCTCATTACTGATATGAGTAGAGTTTTTTAAAGTTTTTTCTCCCATAGGAAATTGATAGGAATGATATCATGCTGTGTGCCCATTACTCTTGCAGAATTGAATGACTGTATGTGGATGACTATGCCATTCATTCCACCCTCCTCATGCCTGTGCTAGAATGCAATGTCATGTGGAATGCACATGTACAGTGAGGGAAAAAAGTATTTGATCCCCTGCTGATTTTGTACGTTTGCCCACTGACAAAGAAATGATCAGTCTATAATTTTAATGGTAGGTTTATTTGAACAGTGAGAGACAGAATAACAACAAAAAATCCAGAGAAACACATGTCAAAAATGTTATAAATTGTTTTGCATTTTAATGAGGGAAATAAGTATTTGACCCCCTCTCAATCAGAAAGATTTCTGGCTCCCAGGTATCTTTTATACAGGTAACGAGCTGAGATTAGGAGCACACTCTTAAAGGGAGTGCTCCTAATCTCAGTTTGTTACCTGTATAAAAGACACCTGTCCACAGAAGCAATCAATTAATCAGATTCCAAACTCTCTACCATGGCCAAGACCAAAGAGCTCTCCAAGGATGTCAGGGACAAGACTGTAGACCTACACAAGGCTGGAATGGGCTACAAGACCATCGCCAAGCAGCTTGGTGAGAAGGTGACAACAGTTGGTGCGATTATTCGCAAAAGGAAGAAACACAAAATAACTGTCAATCTCCCTCGGCCTGGGGCTCCATGCAAGATCTCACCTCGTGGAGTTGCAATGATCATGAGAAAGGTGAGGAATCAGCCCAGAACTACACGGGAGGATCTTGTCAATGATCTCAAGGCAGCTGGGACCATAGTCACCAAGAAAACAATTGATAACACACTACGCCGTGAAGGACTGAAATCCTGCGGCGCCCGCAAGGTCCCCCTGCTCAAGAAAGCACATATACAGGCCCTTCTGAAGTTTGCCAATGAACATCTGAATGATTCAGAGGAGAACTGGGTGAAAGTGTTGTGGTCAGATGAGACCAAAATGGAGCTCTTTGGCATCAACTCAACTCGCCGTGTTTGGAGGAGGAGGAATGCTGCCTATGACCCCAAGAACACCATCCCCACCGTCAAACATGGAGTTGGAAACATTATGCTTTGGGGGTGTTTTTCTGCTAAGGGGACAGGACAACTTCACTGCATCAAAGGGACGATGGACGGGGCCATGTACCGTCAAATCTTGGGTGAGAACCTCCTTCCCTCAGCCAGGGTATTGAAAATGGGTCGTGGATGGGTATTCCAGCATGACAATGACCCAAAACACACGGCCAAGGCAACAAAGGAGTGGCTCAAGAAGAAACACATGAAGGTACTGGAGTGGCCTAGCCAGTCTCCAGACCTTAATCCCATAGAAAATCTGTGGAGGGAGCTGAAGGTTCGAGTTGCCAAACGTCAGCCTCGAAACCTTAATGACTTGGAGAAGATCTGCAAAGAGGAGTGGGACAAAATCCCTCCTGAGTTGTGTGCAAACCTGGTGGCCAACTACAAGAAACGTCTGACCTCTGTGATTGCCAACAAGGGTTTTGCCACCAAGTACTAAGTCATGTTTTGCAGAGGGGTCAAAAACTTATTTCCCTCATTAAAATGCAAATCAATTCATAACATTTTTGTCATGTGTTTTTCTGGATTTTTTTGTTGTCTCTCACTGTTCAAATAAACCTACCATTACAATTATAGACTGATCATTTCTTTGTCAGTGGGCAAACGTACAAAATCAGCAAGGGATCAAATACTTTTTTCCCTCAATGTAAGTACTATATTGCTGCACAGGAATCCTTAAATTGGCATTTAGAATTGGTCATATTGAATTAGAATTTACAGATATTTTTATTAATGACAATTGAATGCCTTATGGAGACATATCCTGGTCAGTGAGTTGGCGGTACAATATTTGATTCTAACCACCTGTGTCTTTCTTCCTTTTTGTCCCTACAGATATGCCATAGGCCATGTTAAGATAAAAGACAACTGTGTTTAACATGCTTAAGCGGTTGGACAAAATCCGGTTCCGCGGACAGCGGACAGATGTGTTTCTGGATCTGGGCGACTCGCCCAACACATCTGACACTGAATGTAGCGAAGAGATTCTGATGAAGCCTCGGCCCTCACTTGAAGTTAAAGACACTGAAGAACTGCAAGACCCTGTGAGTGCCCCTGTAAGTGAATATCAGTATTAATATAACCACAGAAATGGCATCTCTTCAGACTCTTTCACTTCACAAATTCTCACTGAAACAAAACAGATATAGTTGTTTCCTAATTTAGTTTGGAATCTTCCAGATCACTTTAAGTCCAGTCACTCGCCATGCCATGGTGCCGCTGCCAGTTTCGGGGGGATTTTGGCCAAAATGTCCCCCTTTTGATACATGGCGTTCATGTTTATTCAACCCCCTTCCTGTTAATGTAGTTCACTCAAGCGAGGGTGGTGAGAAAGACTTAACAACCGCTGTCTACATCACTGCAGGCAGAGCTTAGTCAGACTAGACATGTGCCAAGGCCTACCGCCAACTCAACATCCCTGAGCACATTAGAAGAACAACTATATTTTTCATCTTATTATTTCATTTGTCTGCATATTCTGGTGCATTGATGTTCATATTTCTGTGGCGAGAGGTTGATAAAACTGCTTGATGTTCTTTGAAGATATACTCAGAGGAAATATCTGAATGGATTTGGTTGATCTAATGTTTTCTCCCTTTAAAACAGATCAAATTTATTATGAGTCATTTGATAACATCATCCCACACTGGGCCAAATTGATTGCGTTCTTTATGAAGTGTCCAAAAAAGCTCAAAGTTGTTGACAGATACACAAAGACGTGCAAACTTGGCACTGGTGCAAATGCTCAGCTAGCTGATCTGGTTCCTAAAGTCAAGACCCGACTTGCACATATCGAGTCTATAAGAAAAGACAATTGGAGATGTTGGACCTTTTAGGATCTCTGTATCTCAAACAAACTTTGACACAGAAACCCTATGTGCAGTGGAATTAGGGCTTAAACACAGCCCCTGTAATGTCTAACCACAAACATGTCTTGGTACTGGGAAACTGGGCTTCAGCCAGTTCAGTACTGTACAGTGACACATTTGTTTGCGTCTTGGGCTTGTTCTCATGGAAACAGGAACAATGTGGTTCTTCTCACTCTGGTTATCTATCATAATCTTGACACCTCTGTCTTTATGTTGTTAATGATTATGAACTAAATAGCTGTTCCAGATGTATTTACACCCATAGCAGGCCTGGCTGTCACTACTTACCACTTTTGATGCACTATAGCTCTTTTATGGGGTACATCTAATTAACATTCAGGTCTAATTTACACAGATGGAATAAATTGATGTACAGTTGTCAGCAAGTAGACCTGGTGAAATGTGTCACTGCTTCTCTGGGTAAATGGCGCAAAGAGGGACAGTGTTAATGTACTTCTATTATTCTCTTCATTTTACAAAGCATACAAGCAGTACTATTGCAATCTCAAAGTAGTCTGTCAACATTCTTCTTGTCAGTCATTGTTGCTAAGTTGTTGTAGTATGCTAGGTAACTTCGGAAAGTATTCAGACCCCTTGACTCTTTCCACATTTTGTTAGGTTACAGCCTTATTCTAAAATTGATTAAATTGTTTTTTTTCCCCCTCATCAATCTACACACAATACCCCATAATGACAAAGCAAAAACAGTTTTTTAGAAATGTTAGCTAATAAATACAAAATTATAATGAAATATGACATTTACATAAGTATTCAGACCCTTTACTCAGTACTTTGTTGAAGCACCTTTGGCAGCAATTAAGCCTTGAGTCTTCTTGGGTATGACGCATCAAGCTTGGCACACCTGTATTTGGGGAGATTCTCCCATTCTTCTCTGCAGATCCTCTCAAGTTCTGTCAAGTTGGATGGGGAGCATTGCTGCACAGCTATTTTCAGGTGTCTCCAGAGATGTTCGATTGGGTTCAAGTCCGGGCTCTGGCTGGGATTCAAGGACATTCAGAGACTTGTTCCAAAGTCACTCCTATGTTATCTTGGCTGTGTGCTTAGGGTCGTTGTCCTGTTGGAAGGTGAACCTTCGCCCCAGTCTGAGGTCCTGAGCACTCTGGAGCAGATTTTCATCAAGGATCTCTCTGTACTTTGCTCCGTTCATCTTTGCCTCGATCCTGACTAGTCTCCCAGTCCCTTCCACTGAAAAACATCCCCACAGCATGATGCTGCCACCACTACCATTCTTCACCGTAGGGATGCTGCCAGGTTTCCTCCAGACGTGATGCTTGGCATTCAGGCAAAATAGTTCAATCTTGGTTTCATCAGACCAGAGAATCTTCTTTCTAATGGTCTGAGAGTCTTTAGGTGCCTTTTGGCAAACTCCAAGCGGGCTGTCATGTACCTTTTTACTGAGGAGTGGCTTCCATCTGGCCACTCTACCATAAATGCCTAATTGGTGGAGTGCTGCAGAGATGGTTGTCCTTCTGGAAGGTTCTCCCATCTCCACAGAGGAACTTTTGAGCTCTGTCAGAGTGACCATCGGGTTCTTGGTAACCTCCCTGACCAAGCCCCTTCTCCCCCGATTGCTCAGTTTGGACGGGCGGCCAGCTCTAGGAAGAGTCTTGGTGGTTCCAAACTTTTTCCATTTAAGAATGATGAAGGCCACAGTGTTCTTGGGGTCTGAATACTTATGTAAATAAGGTATTTCTGTTTTTTGTTTTTAATAAATTGCAAAAATGTCTAAAAACCTGTTTTCGCTTTGTCATTATGGGGTATTGTGTGAAGATTGAGGATTTGTATTTATTTAATCCATTTTAGTATAAGGCCGTAACGTAACAAAATGTGAAAAGTCAACGGGTCTGTATACTTTCCGAATGCACTGTATGCAGGCCTACTGTAGGTGAAGTACAGTATGAGAGACCTAGCTTTTAATAATATTTTTCATGAATAAATGACACAGTACGTTGTAGTACAGTAGCTAACTATAATATCCTTCATGTGCAATGTACTAGCTTTACTCCTCCAGTCAAGGAAGTCACTAAAGAGCACTGATTTCCCTCCTTCTGACACAAGCTGTCACTCCCCCTGCTGAGAGGATGTGAAATGAAATCATCTTTCCCTTTCCCAGCTCTGTTATGTCTGAGTAGTGTAGTACAAGTTGGCACTAGTGGCTATCTCACTGGCTATCTTCTCTCTCTCGCGCTCTTTCTCTCACTCACTCATTCACTCAATCACTCTCACTCACACTCACACCTACACTCACACTCTCTCTCACACTCTCACTCTCAATCTTTCCTCTTGCGCACTCTCACCATCTCAATCTCCTTTGTTTTTCTCTCTTTACCTCTCTGTTAAAATCTTTGTTCCTCTCTCTGTGTTTTGGGTCACGATGCATATGATACTCGGCATACAGGATTATGCTGCCGTATTTTGAGCCAGGCTGGATGGTGCAGGGAGAAACTGCTGGGTGAAATGAAGTCTTCTGCAGACAGCTTGCCTCCATTTATGTCTGCTGGTTTGTTTGGGTGTTTCTGTGTTTGCTTTGCAATATCAGAATTCTGAGAGTTTTGAGGTTCTGTGTGCAGGTGTTTTGAACCAGAGCCTGCAGTAGCTCACATCGGCAGCAAGGTTGTCCTTCCTTCCTCACCCCTGCGTTTTCTTGTGTGTTTTCCCACATCCAGGCTGGTCCAGGGACACTTCCTATGGCTGCAGCCATCCAGGACTACCAGAGGACTGAGACAGATAGACTCAATGAGGTGAAAAGCCACCTGGAAATTGCCTTACTGGAAAAGTACTTCCTACGTGAGTACTGCACTGGATACTGCAGCAAAAATGTTCAACCTAGGTGAAAGTTTGTCAAACCTCTAGCAGGAAGGCTTGGATTTGCAGAAAAGGGATAATATCTTAACACATTTTGTTGTTTGATTGCCAATCTACACAGCAGCTTTGGATATCTGTCTTTCCTGTCCAGGTGTCCACCATCAATAATACTGTTCACCTCTGGTTATTTTCCTGTGTTTGGTCCGGATTGCGTTCTCACCTGCAGCCAACCGCACCACGGTACAAACAGAAATGGACCGAGACCACCCTTTTTGAACGAACCACAGTGCGTTGTTTGGTGCATTCCCGAGTGAGGATAGAGTGTTCACACCAGTCCAAACTGACAAACTAAGGGGGTAAACGCACTAGAGTTAGAAGAAGAAGAAAAACCCAGTTCCAAACAAATTTGGTGTGAAAGCCACCTCAGTTGGTGAACTAATTGGAATTTGTGTACATTGAATTTGTCTCACTTTCGGGACCCTCCTGTCTGCAGAATTACTGGCTCATATAACCCTCTGGCAACGTTAAGTGTTAGCCTCTTATTAGCCTAGCTAGGTCAGTGACCATACATAGTATCTGTGAGTGAGTGACAATCACTACTAAATGGGGACCATATGATTACGTTTGGGCAGCTGTAGTCAACATACTCTGGCATGTATCAATACATTTCACACATTGAGCAGATGAAAGTACAGAAGAGGTGTGTGTGGCCTTCATTTCGCATCAGCCCTTCATCTGGGATGCAGGATGTGTGTGTCAGCAGTATGTGTCTCATTGCAGAGCCCATTGACCTCTGTCATTGGCCACAGTTAAAATAACATCAAATCACGCATCTACAGTAGCTTTGATTGGACTGATCATGTCAACATCATACTTTCATAATCTTAGCTAGCAAGCTAGCAGTCATCATCATGAAACAAGTCGGCAATCTACTGGCAAATCCTTTTCAATCCTTGTCATATGAAGATAAATAATTAAGAGAAATTATAGATAAAACGTTTTGGCCATTGGACATAAACATTACACAACAAGTTTGAAATTGCAAATTCAACAGTGAGTGGTTTGGAAGGAATCACTAGCCTGCTATTCAGTGGAGTGGGTGTGAGGACCAAGTCTGTGTTTAAGGGGCTCTTTTCCAAGCTTAAAAGGATAAACATTCAACATTGGCCATGCTGTCAATCCAGCATGACTTCTGCCACGCTCAAAACAACTGGAAACTCGTAACTGGGAAATCTCAGACTTCAGTGAGTCCAAGACAACTGGGAACTCGGGAAAAAACGAGCTCCGACTGGGAAAATACGTGTTGAAAGGTCATCCAATTCTGAATTTCAAGTCAGGAACTCTGGCCTCTTTCTAGAGCTCCGACCTGAGGATCACTGACGTCATCATGATTCAACCTTTTTCCGAGTTCCCAGTTGTCTTGAAAGCAACGTAAATCCAGAGAATGTCAGGCTTTGATGACAAAGTTTCATGACAGAATTTGCCCATGAAGGACTGCCACGCCACCTTTCTGTTCAAGTGAGCGAAGCAAAACAAGGTGAATCCAAAAATGTATTATATGCTGCTGCATAAATGATGTAATATGCCAGGGAAATATGTATACTGTAGCTAAGAAAGTAATCCTAAGTGTATGTTGTGAAGTAAGCTGTTAGTAGCCCATGTTCCTCACCCTAATAATTGGGTCCCTTTTCCCCTCATAACTTAGCCTACTGTTCTGACTTAGTGGTACACATTTAGCCTATAGTCTGTTTTAGAGAAATGTAATCATCAAATATTGTAAGAGCTTTCATTGTCTGCTTATATGCCCCCTTTATTTATCCTACGGTTCTGACTTGGTGAACAGGGAGAATACTGCAAGAATGGCCCATGTTCTGTAGCTGTACATTTCAAAAGTGCTGAACAAATAGTTATATTGATTACATCCGTCCTAGCTCGCTCATTAATGTCTTAATCGAAATTACGGATTGTCTCTTATCCGCTCGTTTTCCCCTTATGCCATAGTTTTTATATCTCAATTGTCAGTAGAAACCACATTTGTTTAAGCAAGTCAGCCATATCAGCTATGTTTTTTTTAAAGGCAGTGAATGAGGCTGAATGAACTGTTTCACTGCCAGTCAAGGCTCTGCTGATAGCCAGGTGTAGCAACCAGTGGTAAGGTGTTGGGACTGCTATTGGGACTCTGCTGTTGGGACAGCTTTATGTAGGCCCTAACAGTTTGTGGGCACAGTTTGTCACCGTTATAGTGCAATTAATGTATTGTTTAGAGTAGTGTAGTGGCTTTGCTGGCAATGTTTATTTATTTTAGCCCCACCAATATTTACATGCTAAAATCGCCACTGGCCGGGATAATGTTTATCATGAGCATTCAGGGAGCTGGTAAGTTATTGATTAAATGATCAGCTTTGTCCTTTAATTCTGCTTTGATGAGTCAGTAAGACCTGCAGCTCAGAGACATGTTCAGGATTTGGTGCTGTTGTTTTGCACTGTTTTGGCAAACCTTGCCTATTAAAGTGATCCAGACTTTAATTTCAATTAGTGTGTTTGCAGGTTCAAGAGATTAGCCCTATGCTGATCAGAGAATGGTTAAACACACACACATTCACACACACACACTACAGTAAACGCAATCGCTACCAGGAATTACCAGTTATATTTACACACACCGACTGCAGTCATGTGTTTAATACACATGCACAGCACACACTGCATTGCTGATCAATTGAGGCCAATCTGCCCCGCGATCAATACATCTGTCTAACAGACAGTCCATGTTGTGATATCATCAGCCTCTACAACTGCACAGACAAAGGCATTACCACCCCTTTGAGTTGAATACAATTGACAGATTTAATAGTGCTGTAAGGTTGACCATTTCCCCTAAATAGCTTGGATTTCACACTCTCAGTCTATCATTTCACACAACCTGCAACAGGAAGAGCCTCACAGAGGGACAGGAATGTGTATTTCTATCCCTCCTTGCTCTCTTGATGTGTAATTCCTAGAGGCATCCTGTTTACCACCTGACCACCTGCACTGACTCTTCTGCACCTTAGCGCAACACACACACACACACACACACACACACACACACACATGACAACTGCCGCTACCAGACTCTTATTTACTATTGCTAATAATATTAAATTGAAACAATTGCCCCCAAATCCCCCTTCCCTGATACATGTGTATTGTGCTATAAATTGTGCCTTCCTGTATTATACTTATGCTAAAATGTTTATTCTATTCTACTGAGCCATTTACTTTATGTTTGTATTCATATCTTTTATTATTTCTTACTGTTTTTGCATTGTCGAGAAGGAACCTGCAAGTAAGCATTTTTTGGGATGCTGTATACCATGTGTATCCTGTACATATGACTAATACAACTTGAAACACTTCACAAGATTCTAAATAATCACTGTGCCAGTAAATCAAATATATGGTTGTTAATAATTGATGTTACAGAAGCATCTCTCCACTCAGAAGAAAGGCAGCCATCTATTGAAGGACCATTGGGTGTCTCTGGTCTGATTCACTGGTACAGAGACTGAAGGATAAGAGGTCACACACAGTTAATTTCACAGCAGTACTTATTGGATCTTCAGAAACATTCAGTATGGCCTCTCCCTTGCTCTTGGCAACTATGAATCTATGCTGGCTAGAAACCACAATGCATTTTTATAGTCTCCAATTCCAACCTCGTCTGTTGACACGCCTGGGCGTGTGTAAGCAGGGCTACACTTTCAACGACAATAGCGGCATAGAATGTTGTAGTTATGTTAGATGAGGTGGTAGTAGTATAAGATGTATTTTAATTGGCGTTATTTATGCATATGTTCTTGTAAACACTGTTAGTAAAGTAGTCCAGGTTCTGTTGCACTTTTGATGTAACAGCTTGCCCACAGAGATATGGGTATGTTTCTACGACAGCAAGTGTTTTCATTGTCTAATAGGGCCATATCTAAAATATATTTAACTTTCACTTGAGCTAATGGTTGGTAGGTACTAAAGAGGTTGTACCTCCCAGGTTCCCCGTATTTGCGGGCCAGCTTCTATCATTAGAGATATCAGGGGATGTGGGGGTGGTGCCAAAATGAGGCAGAAGCAGTTTTGGATTGTTTCCAGTTTACTCTGCTAGTCTCTGGCTCCAGGCCAAAACAAGGGCAAGTCACATGAGTCCACATCCTCCTGTTTGACATTGTGAAATGCCTGGGAGAGGTTGCATAGCAATACCTCAGGAATCTCCAGGCCAGCCTGAAGACGTCATTCCACTCGCTGTTTTCCTTGTTGTGAAGCCTGGCACAGGCCCCTCGGGTTTCTCAGGGAAAGTATTAGTGTGAAGAGATGCTGCATGTCCTGGATGGCAGTAGTCCTTTATCTCCTTTTTTTTAAATAGTAGAATACCTCTCTTTACCCTGGCACTCCTTTCCCTAGCCTGGCAACATATCCATTAGCTAAGTGTTAGCCAGTGATAAAGATACAGCACTTCCCTTACCACAGATGTCCCATGAGACTGACGCTGAAATGTTTACTTAAATATGATAAAAGACGAGAGCGACCTCAACAGTGTGTTGGAGACGCTAACATAAATTGTTGTCTTGTGTTGGCAGCTAGCCAAAACAAGGCACTGTGGGAAAGAAGAAGCCAGAAAGTCAGAGAGATAGAAGCTGGCCCTCAAATACGGGGAATCTGGGAGGTTCAACTGCTCTCTGTGACTGCCGATAACTTCAGAACAAAGTAGATATAATACAAATACAAAGTTACCAATGTCTTTGCAATTGATACAAACCAGCGACGTATATAAAAAGATGCTTCAAATTAAAACTGAGATGACTGCATTAAAATACAGTAGGCCTATTTCAATCATTGAAATACATTTCATGTTCAATCAAGTTCTATTTTGCTACTTGTAGGCTACTGTCTGTAATTTGTCTCAATATATTTCATGATGTGTAGCCTAACGTGTGCAATGATTAGCAAAATCTTGATTTAGTGCATTATTACAGGGTAAGCAATAGAATAAGCCGCCTCAATATTTGCAGCCTTAGGTGATAGATATATCTAGGAGCTGATCCGTCGTCAGTATTGTGGAATAATTATAATGTTAAGGTAAGATTTGAATGGAGAAATCTGATCCGAGAGCAGCGTGGCCTTTCCTGCAATCCTCCGTATTGACACGTGCCTCAACGACGCATTTAGCGAACGTTCTCTCTGGGTGGTGTTTTGGGAAATGTATGTGACATCTTCGGCCGTTTGTAGGAAAGATGCATCGTTAAAACACTCTCAGAAGCCTAAATTCCATCGCTATCGGGAAACCGGGCCCTGGACAGTTGAAATGAACATAGTTGATATCTTGTCTATCTCCCTCATATTGCGTTAGCCTATCCCATTCAAATCATATCAAGTCATTCTTTCTCTTGGGGATTAAGGAAGGAAAATGAGGAAGTGTCTTCTTGAGATCTTTTCTATATCTGTTATTCTGTGTCATGGGGGGAACATCCCTTGTGAAAAGAAATGTTTCTCTCTTTTCTAAGGTCTTAGTTTAATTACAGTGATGAAGTAGGTTGAAGTGTTCTCTGACAGAACTCTGTGCTACATTCATTTTTAATTACCTAAAACAAGTGCTAAACGAGACAAGCTTTACGGGTCCTAATTCATCTTCCTTTTCCCCTCTCTCTGCTCGGGCAAATAAAAGCTCAATGGTTTGGGGACTGTTAAGGTAGTTGTGGGCAAAAATATCTGTTCCCATGGAACAGGGGTAGGCAACCCTGGTCCTGGAGTGCAGCAGATCATTATTTTAGTTCCAACCAGGCACCGCATCTGATTCTACCAATCACCTTATCAAATGTGCTAATTAGGCAATATCAGTGACTGGTTAAAGACTTACCAGTTTGTCCAGGTGCCTGTGACAGTGTTTCTCTAGGAGCAGGGTAACTGTGTTAGAAATATGTATTGGCTGAGACAAATTTATAGGCTTTTATTGCTTTTATTTTTTTCAGAGGAGGAGTTGAGGAAACTTAGAGAAGAAACCAACATAGACACATTGAAACAGGAGTTGGAGAAAGAGAGATCGAAGAGGCTGGACTTGGAACAGAAACTGAACTTGGAAGTTCTCAAAATGAGGTAAGGGGCATGTGCGCACATGCTCCACTGCTGACGTCCTTGTGTTAGTGTCTGTGTGTGTGTCAGTTATATTTGTCAGTCCCTGTTGAAAATGGAGCCTCTCCCTGGAGTTGGGAGTGGGAATTTCTCATGATGCAGAGCCAGGCTGCCAATAATCAGTCTTTTTTTTAATTTAATTTTTTATTTAACCTTTATTTAACCAGGTAAGCCAGTTGAGAACAAGTTCTCATTTACAACTGCGACCAGGCCAAGATAAAGCAAAGCAGTGCGATAAAAACAACAACACAGAGTTACATATGGGGTAAACAAAACATAAAGTCAAAAATACAACAGAAAATAAATATACAGTGTGTGCGAATGTAGTAAGTTATGTAAAGCAATAAATATGCCATAGTATTACCACTGGAATGATAGATGTGCAAAAGATGATGTGCAAATAGAGATACTGAGGTGCAAATTAGCAAAATAAATAACAATATGGGGGATGAGGTAGTTGGGTGGGCTAATTTCAGAATGGCTGTGTACAGGTGCAGTGATCGGTAAGCTGCTCTGACAACTGATGCTTAAAGTTAGTGAGGGAGATAAGAGTCTCCAGCTTCAGAGATTTTTGCAGTTCGTTCCAGTCATTGGCAGCAGAGAACTGGAAGGAAATGGCGGCCAAAGGAGGTGTTGGCTTTGGGGATGACCAGTGAGATATACCTGCTGGAGCGCAGACTACGGGTCGGTGTTGCTATGGTGACCAGTGAGCTAAGATAAGATGGGCATTTGCCTAGCAGTGATTTATAGATGACCTGGAGCCAGTGGGTTTGGCGACGAATATGTAGTGAGGGCCAGCCAACAAGAGCGTACAGGTCACAATGGTGGGTAGTATATGGGGCTTTGGTGACAAAATGGATGGCACTGTGATAAACTACATTCAATTTGCTGAGTAGAGTGTTGGAGGCTATTTTGTAAATTACATCGCCGAAGTCAAGGATCGGTAGGATAGTCCGTTTACCAAGGCATGTTTGGCAGCATGAGTGAAGGAGGCTTTGTTGCGAAATAGGAAGCCGATTCTATATCTAACTTTTAATTGGAGATGCTTAATGTGAGTCTGGAAGGAGAGTTTACAGTCTAACCAGACACCTAGGTATTTGTAGTTGTCCACATACTCTAGGTCAGACCCGCCGAGAGTAGTGATTCTAGTCGGGTGGGCGGGTGCAAGCAGCGTTCGGTTGAAGAGCATGCATTTAGTTTTACTAGTGTTTAAGAGCAGTTAGAGGCTATGGAAGGAGTGTTGTATGGCGTTGAAGCTCATTTGGAGGTTTGTTAACACAGTGTCCAATGAAGGGCCAGATGTATACAAAATGGTGTCGTCCGCATATAGGTGGATCCTAGTGTCACCAGCAGCAAGAGCGACATCATTGATGTACACAGAGAATTGAACCCTGTGGCACCCCCATAGAGACTGTCAGAGGTCCAGACAACAGGCCCTCCGATTTGACACATTGAACTCTGAGAAGTAGTTGGTGAACCAGGCGAGGCAGTCATTTGAGAAACCAAGGCTATTTAGTCTGCCAATAAGAATGCGGTGGTTGACAGAGCCGAAAGCCTTGGCCAGGTTGATGAAGGCGGCTGCGCAGTACTGTCTTTTATCGATCGCGGTTATAATATCGTTTAGGACCTTGAGCGTGGCTGAGGTGCACCCATGACCAGCTAGGAAACTGGATTGCATAGCGGAGAAGGTATGGTGGGATTCGAAATGGTCGGTGATCTGTTTGTTAACTTGGCTTTCAAATACTTTCAAAGGGCAGGGCAGGATGGATATTTGTCTGTAACAGTTTGGATCTAGAGTGTCATCCCCTTTGAAGAGGGGGATGACCGCGGCAGCTTTCCAATCTCTGGGGATCTCAAACATTACGAAAGAGAGGTTGAACAGGCTAGTAATAGGAGTTGCGACAATTTCGGCAGCTAATATTAGAAAGTAAGAGTCCAGATTGTCTAGCCCAGCTGATTGTAGGGGTCCAGATGTCAAGAGGGCAAGTTGCAGCGGAAGGGTGCTGTGAAGAAGCTGCGTGGCAAGGGTGGGGTAGTGGTAGCCAGGTGGAAAAGCATGGCCAGCGTAG